GGGGCGGGGGGGTGGCAGAAGTGATTTCTTCCTGTTGTTGATACCGAGTGAAAGGAACTCTGCTCCGGAGTATTTATTAGTTCTTTCACCCAGCGCTTCATCAGGATCTCTGAGCTGCGATTGGCCAGCGGGGAGACTGTCCCGGCTGGAGAAGACAGGAGCTGATTGGGTGAAATCTGCAACTTTCTCTTCTCATCATTACAATCGAGGCCTCAATCTAGGAGTGTGACCCAGGCATCGCCTCTTCCCTTGATAAAGTGTCCTTTCATAGAATGGCTGGACAGGAGAAAATGCAGAAGCAGGGGAGAAAGCAGCCTTCAGGGGAGAAACTGCTCATTCCTTTTACAACTGTCTTGGCACCATGCCACTTGAAGGAGATTACAATAAGGAAGCAGCCAGACACTTGCATGTCTTGAAGTCAGTCTCTCTGGTCACCTTTTCTTTCCTGGGGGGGGGGGGGGGGGTTGTTCATGTGCAGCTGTATGTTGTCCTGGTCAAACAGCCTGCGAGAAATTCAAGGGGAAGTTCTGTGTTTCTATTGATAACGGTCTTTGTCTCGTTTTCTTCGGGGCGTGGGGGGGGGCAGTTTCAATTGAATATATTTTTTCTTTTTCCATTCTTTACATTTTTCCACTGAAATCTGTAGTAACAGAGAATAAAATCTACAGACCAACTAGTGCCATCACTTTTTTCTTTTTTCTTTTACCGAGAATCTCCATAGATCTCAGTAGGGATTTCTGCTTTGAAAATGGACGGCAAGATGTAACCCTGTATTATATATACTTGTGTGTATGTTAAAGTAAGTCTTGCTAACAAGCATTTGTTCCCAGGAATTTATTGTAGTAGTCAAACTAAACTGCTGGAAAAATAAAAGAAGTAAAGTCTGACTAGGAGCTGAAGTGACCACAGCAGGATATGACGCCAGGAGTGTTGTAAAGGCTGGCTGTCCTTAAAGAAGGTACTATTGTGCATGTCTTTTTATTTATAACTTGGTAAGTGCCAGCAAACTCGCCTCCTTTACTCTCTGAAGTGCCAGCCCAGCTTTCCACAGTGCTCTTTATTTGCAATAGTCTATTCAGTAACTGTCACTCTCGAGCCTCAAGTTATTCAAGACCTTAATCAATCAAAAGGATGAGAATCGTTCAGGTTTCCCCCCCTTTGAAATAAAGGAAACAATGAGTTCTAGGCTTAAAGTCCTCCCGTTCTCTTTACAATCTGGGGATTTTTTTTCTATCGCTGACTCTATCCTCCTGGGGAATTAATGTGAGGGTTTGGGTTTTTTTAAATTATAAAATAATAAGCCGAATCAGCCTGCACAGGAAAATAAACAAGGAGCCACATGGCTCAAAGTTTACTTAGGGAAAACTGAACAGCCGTGCAGAAAAGAGTTTTGCTCAGCCAAAAGCTGGAGCTGGGTGAGGAAGGTTTGCTGAAAGACGGCTGGGTGATGCTCTAATAATTTAAAACTAGACAGTAACTTAAACGGTAGACACACGGGGGCCATCAACCTGGTTATTCTGCCTCCTAGATTTTTGCCATTGATTTTGCTTTCCCAGTCCCTGCGCACCAGTGAGAAAATAAAATAATTTAGATCGTTTTTCAAATGCATCCTGTAAAAATTACTTGTCCCCTGTGGGCACTGGAGTTGTATGTGGCACTTGGGGACAGCGCCGATTGGAGGACTGATTTTTAAAGAGACAAAATAATATGGAAAGTTTGCACGACAGGGAACCTAGTTGGGGATTTTTGCTCCGATCACATTTAAATGTCTTATTTCTGCTTGAAGCACTGAAGAGAAGACTGCATATGGATTTGCGGAACCTCTGGGTGTTTTTTTCTCCCTCACTATCAATATCTTCCATTTACTGGAGCACTCATATGTGATCAGATTTTTAAGGCACACACTGGTATAAATATTTTAAAATTGTGGAATGATGAGATTCCCTAGAAAGTGTGTAACAGTTTGATTCAGACCATGTTATTTCATTTTAGATTCTGCAAAATGAATCTGAAGGAAATACATTCTTTAGCTATTATTAAAAGTCAAAGCAGGCTTGAAAAAAATCTTCATCTAGAAGTGCTTGCATATGGACTAAACTATCCGATTGCAAAAGATTAAAATATTGCATATCATAGATATTAAATTGAACTCACCAACAATTGTAAACTCCAGGGAAAGGAAACCTGAACGTGCTCTCAGAAATAGTTTCTACATGGCTGATGAGCACAGGTCAAGACTTCTGGTAGCTGAAGCTGTAACTTCAGCGTGGTATAGATACATCTGTTATACAGCGATCGTACATACATGTAGACGATCCAATACGCTACTCGCCGTTTTAGGTAAAAGACCGTGGTAACTTACTGATACTAGCTGAAGTAGCTGAAGTCGGAGGGTGGGTCTTATATCTTACATTTTACTGTGAATTGCATTTTTTCCAAAGATTTCATAGACATCAGGGGCTGGAAAGGACCTCGTGAGATCATCGCGTCTAGCCCCCTCCTCCTTTGTACCCAAATCATATATTTCTTATTTGCTCCTATTCTGACTGTGTGTGTGCGTGTGCGCGCACGCGCGCGTGCTTTTGTGCCGGTGTACTCCGGAGGGGCTTCTGACACCACTTTTCCAGTCGCTTCAAGGGGCTGGGCAGAATCGCCGCCATCCTGTACCAGTTCTCATTTGCTGAAAGTCAATGTTTCAGAAAAATCGGGCACGATCAGGACCCTGCTTGTTTCCCCATTGGAGTCAAGGGGAAGTGTGGCCATTAAAGCTATTAGGAGCAGCCCCCAGAAGTGTTACTTCCATTACCCTGATACAAGCCAAACACACACCTCTATGTGAGGGTACACGAGCTGAGCTCCTGGCCCCTCCGGGCCCAAGCGTAGGGCATGCAACCAGGGCTGACTAAGGGGGCACCTGAGCAGACACAGCTAACCAGCTAGATAGATAGACCGATAGATAGACCGACCGCCCCGGGTCTGTAGCACGATCTGCCTTTACTTGCTTGCTGTGGAGCTGCCAACTTCCCTGGCAACCGAACCGGGGCCTGGAGAAGAAGCACGAGAGACACCTTTCTGCTCGCGCCCCGCACGGCGGAGCCTCTTCTACCCGCGGACCAGTCGCTGCAGCCGCCTCGGTGGGTCGGGCCTTTGCATCCCAGCCCCTTCCCCCTGCGGTGCCAGGTCCCCTTCACGTGCGAATGAACCCGAGTGTCTCGCCAGTTACATAAAGCAGAGGTGGCTGGAGCAGGGTTTCCTAAGTGCAGAGCTGTTGCCCTGTGGGCCTTCAGCTTGAAGAAGTGATCTCTGGTGAGCAGCACTGCCCGGAGCCCGCCTGCAGCTCGGCGCTCTGCACCTCCGACCTAGCAGTGTTTTCCAAGATTTTCTGGGAGCGGAGAAAGCTGAGCTCCGCCGCGTTTTGCCCATGAGAGGCGGAGATGTGGGGACAGCACGGACCCAAGCTCCCCCCATCATGCCTGGCAAATCGGTGGGCATACTTGTCTTTCTCGCAACCAGGCGCTCCTTTCCTAGCCTGGCGGCGTGGGGTGGGGGCGAGGGCGGGGGTGAGGGTCGCAGTTGCCCCGCAAACCGGACTCTTACGAAGGAGGGATAACAAGGTGCTCCACTCGTGGGCAGTGCAGGCAGTAAAAGCAGCTCAAGGTACTCGCCTCTCTCCAGCCACACGGACTCCCCGGTGGCGTAGGCCATTCAGAAATGATAGTGTGTCCAAAATGACACGGGGGAACTGCTGCTGTCCTGCTCAGACCTTTACCTTCTCCCCTGATCGACCTCCCCTGGCTGGGAGGGAGGAAGGGGGAAGGAGTACTGTGTACCGGGTAAGGGCCAGATCCTGCTGTTCCTGAGCTCTCAAACAAGCTTTCCTGTGGGGTTGGGGAGGACAGGGCCGTCCCTCTCCCCACCGTTTCCAGACACCAGGATCTGTCTTGCTCCCATTCAAGACAACACGCACATCCCTACGGGCGTGAATGGGCCAGGAATTGATCGAAAGAGGGAGAGTGAAGAGCATTTTGCTCCACCACTAGCACCGGGCGGGCCCGATCGTGCCCTGGGAGTTTTGAGCGAGCAAGGGCTGCAAGCTGGGGTTGCTGGGTATGAATTTCACAGGGCTGGAAGAGAGCCCCGCACAGGAACTGTTCAAATTCCAGGCAAAATGATTAGGCATGAATGCCTGCTCTCCCGTATTAGAGCCTTTTAGGCCAGCAGAGAGGATTTCACGGTTTTCCAGTGGAAATAGCTAAAAATGCTCCTGCTAATTACAGAGCTCTTCCAGGCCAGGTGCACTTTTAATTGGATTAGTAAGTGCTCTATATTAAACCTGCAGCACATCAAATGGACAGTGAAAATTAGAGCTATTAGGAACAGAGGCAATTATTTATGAATGATAACATTTCTGTTTTCTCCTCCATTCGCAAAAAATCAATTTTGCTGTTTACAGGGTTCGGCATACCTCATGTTAAGGTTGCTTATTTTAATTTCTCATCAGGCTTTGCTTTTTCCTGAGTGAATTCACCATACAGTTAGACCCCTGGTCATACTATTCAACTTAAACATCAACCCTTAATGTTGAGCAACGTTTGAAGAAAGAGAGAAAGGGAGGAAAAGAAAGGCAGTGGGAGGCGTTCTAGGTACGTTTTCATTGTTCTTATGCTCAGCTGGCATTTTAACAATGTATCAAACTGCAAAAGAGAGAGCATTTCCAGACAAGAGTTTTCAAATTAATTTATCTGCGGGTGTGCATATTTTTTGGTTTAAATTGCCAAAGAACCGATAAGGCAGCTTTCTGTTTGAAGGACTGAAGCTGGCCATCCCTCGCTCCAGCTTCTTGCCGATTTCTGCCTTACCAAGTTCCTAAAGAGTTTTTGTCCGCGGTGGGAT